CAGGCTGAGAGTGTGTGCACTACCTGGCTATTTAACGAGCGGCTAGTCTTAAAAGGCACCCAACTGATTTGTTTTAAGCAAAAATACTTTGATTTCCAAAACAGCAACTGGTAAATTGTGGCTCAGTGTAATCATCTTTAGGAACCTCTGAGTCCAGTCTTGGAAACGCTTACTGGCAGGGAGCGCACACATTAGTGTAGAGAATTCTCATAAAGTTAATGAGATTCTGTACGGTAATAAGAGTGTCCATAGTTATCAAGTTTGCAATTACAAACGTAATTACTTACTCCATTGACTTCAATTAATTTAAAAATTTGTATGCAGTATTTACAACTTGTATCTAAATGTCAGAAGTCTCAACTAGATTAATAACAAATCAGTTAAGACACAGTGGTGAAAGTTTTAGAAGGAGTAAGTTAGACCAAATGTAAACATTCTCAGGGGTGTATGTGTTATTTACTGAGAAAGGAGGTGTAAATGAGCTGACCTGACTGTGTTGCAGCTTTGTTTAATAAACTTAGCTTTTGTCTGGATGTGTAAGAGTCACCTTTTGCAAGACATTTCCCAGGAGAAGTACAGTGCAGTTAGAGCACCAGAGGAGTTAAAAACATCTTTCACTATTATTTTAATGGAGATTGTGATAGAAAATGGACTCCTTTTGGGGAGAGTGTGAAACATTCACTTTGTCCAGGTGACTTCATTATCTTTCTTCAGTGTCCTCATCTGTTGTGCTGGTGCAATGCTTATTGCTTGAATGGCTCTCAGCCTTCCAGGTACTCTTGCATACTAAGGACTTACTATTAAGAGACAAAATATTTTCAATATTTCTTCTGGTTTTATAGCAATAATAACTGAAATTAATGAATACTATAAGACCCAAAATGCAGTAAGGAGCAAGTTGGGCGTTGGGGAGCATGAATCAAGATTTATATTACTAAAATGGGGCTCTGTGTAGAATATATAGGAAGTCCATTTCTGTTTTAAGATTCTGTGTGCTCAATCTCGACTGATCATAGCTATATTGAGAAATACTGTTTTGGAACAGTGTCAGATTTAACTCCTCCATACTCTAGACTTAAACTACAACATCTTGTTTTGTGCCTTGTCAGAAATTTGCTTTTACTTTTTGATTTAATTTTAATTTAGGTGCTAACCCTTTTGGAGCTGTGTGGGCAACTGCCACTCTTTTTAGCAATGAGTATCTGTCATTTTAGCAAAAAGTATCTGTTGCTTTCCTGTCTCAAAGATATTTGTGAACAATGATCAAATACGTTGGAAAATATGTTGGAAAAGAGATGTGGAATAGTTGGGGGACAGGAAAAAGAAAAATACAAAGAAACCATGTGCAACACTGAACTTGAGTGAGTATGAAATAGGTGAACTATCAGAAAGTGTTAAAAAGAAAAGTTATCATTAATTAATCTGTGTTAGGGTGACTATCAGCGTAGAAAGATTAAATGATTCTTAAATAAACTGTGACTTTGTCTGGCTATTTCCAAAACACCAAATGATCAGCAGAAATAACATACGTGCTAGGATTCAAAGACTTGTTAGGAAACTGAGATTGTGTAAGGCTGGACAAAAAAAGAACAATAATGAACAAGTAGAAAGATGAACACTTAGAAGAACATTTTAGAAAGCCGTAAAGGTTAAAACAGACATACAGTAACACAGAAGGCACTGAAGAAATCAATAATACAGGAATATGTCCTGCAGTTGTATTACCAGTAGTTTCACAGTATTAGCAATATCAGTTTCAAAGGACTTAGCACTTGGCATTGCACTTCCCAAAATTGTTGTGTAAATGCATTGATATTTATTACATTATCTAGCTTAAATTTTCTGTGTTTGAAAGTACTGCAGATTATATTAGATGAAAGATAACAGCCTAAATATGAAAGACAGCAGGTTCTATCAGAATGAATTATTCATTTGGTTCAGCGGTGAGCTATTTGCCTAAGAGGCCTAGATATATTTTAAAAACATCTCTGTACAGAACATTAATTTCTGTAAAGTACAGAAGCACATCTGATGCCTGATCTTAATTTATGACCGTAAGATTCATTCTTTGAAGTTATGCTGAATGGTGAAGAAATATAGTAGGCCAGTCAAAGTGTCTGTTTAATTTTAAAAATCTAATGAAGTATGTAACTTCATGTATATAATGAACTATATAACAGAATATTTGTTTATCTACATGTTTTTTGATTTTGCTAACATATGTCTAGCAAAAAATGCTTCACTCTACTAGTGAAGAATGGCAGTTACCTTTCTGTGAATTTTTTTTCTTACTTAGAAAACTAAAACTTGCTTGTAATAAATACGCAGCGGTGTTCTCTATCCAGCCCCATAACAACCACATTTTTCCATAATTTAAATGCTAAAAGAGGTCTATGTTTTTTAGCCATAGCATCTTTGATAATCATTTTACTGCTGATAGAAATTGCAGAGAGAAAATGGTTGGTATTTTAGAACACATCAGTTAAGATTGTGCTAATTTTTGGATTAGGATCAACTCTGATTTCATTAGGCGGTCTATGAACCGACTGTTGCCGTTAATGCTAAATCGCTTAATTATTTTTATGCTCTTTTTTTACCACCACCAAAATCCAATATGGTGTTTAGAGCATGCTGGTCTACCAGGCCTTAAAAAGAAAATCATCAGTAGAGGTAATACCCTGTTCCAATTTTGTTCATGGAAACAAAGGCAGTAATTAATGTATTAAACTTGGACTTGATCCAGAACAGGGTAGCCACGTTGCCTTTTGGAAGGGGCCCTAGCTCAGGCAGTCTCCCAGATCTGCCCAGGAATTGCTTGGGGTAGAGCTAACCGGTAGGAGCCAAAACCGTGTGAGGAACCATTTCACGTTTGGACAGCAGTGGGGATGGCGGAGGGCCAGCATCCAGGCTCACTCTCTGGCACGTTACACCACTTGCATAGCAGTAGCGCTTAGGTCCCTGGAAGATTTACTATCTAAAATGCCTTGTTTAGGGCAGAATTTTCATTGAAAGGCCTGGCAGAATATAAACATAATAATTAAGAGTTTTTTTAAAAATCAGGAAATCTTTGTGGAATATTCATAAAGCCATTTGGTTTAAATTTAATAACCTTTTAAAATATAAAATAAGGGTGAATGTGCTATTTGAAATAATTTACTAACTTTTTAATGTCAACCATTATAAAAAATCAAGATTGATATATTCAAATGATGAAATCTTTCTTATTCTCCAGTGTCGTAGTAATTCTGAATACAACTTCCTAATCTTAATTTCATACAGATATGAAATTCTAACATTTTGGAAGGGCTTGAAGTAGCAAATAGTACACGTCTCATGTAGTATCGTGTAGTAAATTGGCTTTAGGAAAAAGTTGTTTTTTTCCAATATGAGCAAAGTTGTACAACTGCAGAACATCGCTTCCAGCTAAGGAAGTCACAGTCCTGCCATCCTTCTAGCATGCTCAGTCCTTCAACTCGTGTTCCCAAGCTGCTCAGCAATTTTCCTCTCATTTTGAAAAGAGCTTTGCCGCTTTGGGATTACTTCTTTGAGTCAGTGCTTCTGCTGTCCTATGTTCTAAGTATGGTTTTTAAAACTCTCTGTATTTTTAAAAAGTTTGCCTATTTTCAAAATCAATAGATTTTAAATGCTTTTAACAGTCAGTCCACATATGCTGTGATCTGTGCCTTTGTCAATTTAAGCTATACTTGAGATAACCAGTTTTTCTCCCAGCACAGAGATAAAGCTGGGAGACTTCTCCCATTAACTTCAGTAAATGAAGAATTTAATTACGTAATTTTTAGTAATTTCTCACTTCTCCTCTTATTTCACTGTTTCAATCTCTTGAGCCCAAGCAGCTTTTTTTGCAGTTACATAATGATTAGTCACAGATGTAAATGGAGATTATTCCTCATTTAAAGCCCTTTACTGCATAAAGCATAGTTGATACTGACTTTTGGTTCACTTTCTTATATGTTCTTACTTGACTTTCTTTTATAATGCTGTGAAGAAGGATAAGCTGCTTTCATCGATTTTGCTGTCATTTGTACACAGTCTTTTGCAACAGAGGCTCTGTGAAGCCTTTCTTGCCCTCAGGGAAGCTGCTGCCCGAAAAGGGGCTCTCAGGGAGATGCCCACCAGCAAAGCAGGACGCCTTGCTGCCATCCACACGCGGTGTCGTGGATCACACCGTCTCCCCGCCACGCTCCTGTGCCATGAACTGCACAGAGGGAGGAACACTTGCCTAGATGTGCTTTGCAGCAGATCCAAGGGTTGAATCTCAGATTGGTCATTTAATTACAAATCTGTATTCTGTTGTGTATCTACTTACAATGATAGAGTTTTCATAAGCTACTGGAAGACAGCAAGTGTCACTAAACACCACTGCTTAGGGGTGTGACAGTTTGTTTACTTACTGCTGAAACGGAAGCCATGTTTCAGGTCCCCCATACTGCAAGTCAGAAAGGAGGGGACCCCATCAGCTCAGTGTATGCTGTTAAACCAACACAAGTACTCAACACAAGCTTCATCTAAGCTTAACTCGTTTAGCAGGCTGATTATTGATGCGAAAGTGCTTTTGCTTTGTGACTGTAGTTAGGCACAGTTTTAAGGAGGTGGCAACCATTCTTTGTACTTTTGCTATGAAGAGCCAAAACACTGTTAGTGGTTTATAAAGAAGTTGACAACAAGTTTATACATCTGTATCAAAAATGTCACAATTTACATTACTTTCAAATGCTTATAACATAGGTCCTTTTCCTTGAGGAACTATGCAAAATTATACCAAGATTACTAACGTAATTGTTGCTGGCCTTTTAGTTCAAGAACTTCAGCTCATGTCTTAAAGATGGGGTGTATTGTTCTCATTTGCATCAGCATCAGTCTGATTTCTTTCTTCTTTTTGCAGTAACAGTATCATTTGAGCGTTTTTTTTGTCTAAACAAAATTTGACTGACATTTTGCAAGTAAAAATTTCATCTTGGATATCTCCTAATCTGTTACAGGTCAATGCACAAACTGACTCAGCTGGAAAGACTTGATCTGGGCAATAATGAATTCTCTGAGCTGGTAAGCAATGAACCATTTTTTAATAGGAAGCCTGTGTGTTTTGGATGCTCTGTGTATGGGGCGATAAACTACTTAAAAGGCATTACTGTGTTGTGGCCACGTGCTATGGTCACATTTCCTTGTAGAACAGAAGGCTGACCATAATTCATGAGGTGAATGTTGATAGTACAATATACTTCATCTACATCAGGCTTCTGCGGTTCAGATCAAGGTTACAGATGATTCTCCCTCTGAGCTGGTTGCTACTGCTGGAATACTTCAATGTGGGATGAATTTTTGATCTCAGTATAAATACTTGTGTCAATTATATATTAACTTCCTAACACCTATCATAATATCCTGCAAATATTAGCAATTGCTATTAGCAGAAGTAAATTTTGGACTCCAAAAGCAGTTTCTGTCCGTATCTTACCTCTACGATGAGAATTAGGTTCCCTGAGATTTAATAGCTTTCATGAATTTTCTCTAGTATCAGTATGGAAAATAATCAAGTTGCTGTTCCCTTAGGTATGTTTCTGCTGTATCTATAAGAATTGACACTTCTCAGAAACAGTAGGAGGGTGCTTTGTGTTTTAAAATGGCCATATTTTTAAGGATTGCTCACTGACTTCATCCTGCAGGAGCTGTAAATATGTTAAGAGAAGCAAAACTTAGAAAAATTGCTGCCTCATCTTTTTTGAGACCTATCACTGCTGGGCTTTTCGGGGAGGCATCTGCTTTTGTAGGACAAGTTAATACTGTTACACTCACTGTTGCACTGATGGCAAAATAAATGTCTGCCTGTGCCTTAACCACCAACAGCCTGTCCAGTGGCTGGTAAAACCCGTGAGCTGCACCGCCTTTCCTCCCC